CTAACACAAACAGCTAAATGAAGAAGCTAACACAAGCAGCTAAATGAAGAAGCTAACACAAGCAGCTAAATGAGGAAGCTAACATAAGCAGCTAAATGAGGAAGCTAACATAAGCAGCTAAATGAGGAAGCTAACACAAGCAGCTAAATAAAGAAGCTAATACAAACAGCTAACACAAGCAGCTAACAGAGGGTTGTTTCAACTAAACGATGGATCAGCTTCACAAATGATTTGTGACGGTGCACAAAGTGGTCAGATACTCTCCAGTCCTCAGTACTGGTACTTCTAAAATGTATCCATGGCAAACTATCACAGGACATGGTCCTCAGTTGGAAAAGGGTGGACTGTCCTCTGAGTGAGGTTCTGCCTCAAGTGGAGGAGTTCAAGAGTCAGAGTTTTGTTCACAGTGAGAGAAGAACAAAGTGTGAGATCAACAGACAGATCGGTGAAGCCTCTGCAGTATTGTGGACTCTGTGCCGGTTTGTTGTGGTGAAGAGGGAGCTGAGCTGCAAGGAGCAGCTCTCTGTTTACCTGCTGGTCTACGTTCCTACCCTCACCTATGGTCATGGACGCCTCTATAGGGAGGTGTTCCAACATGTCCAAGTGGAAGGAGACCCGGGAAAAGACCTAGGACACGGTAGAGAGACGATGTCCCTCAGCTGATCTGGGAACACCTTAGAGTCCTCCCAGAAGAGCTACAAGAGGTGACTGTGGGAGGAGATGTCTGGACCTCCCTGATCCAGCTGCTACCTCCGAGGCCTTACTCCAAAACAAGATGATGGACGGACGTACCCACAGGACATCGGTTGAAAACAGGTCATGCTTCTGAATGGGTCAGATTTATAAGGTGAAACATGACTCATGAGGCACAACGATCGATTAAAAGCTGATCACAAGGAACCAATCAGAGGCCCAGCTGGTCACGAGTTTGAATGTGGGGGGTGGAATGAGGGGTACCTAATGCTCCTGCCTCCTTTTGGGGAAAACAACCGCTTTGAAACTCCAAACGTTTAAAACTGCTTCAAATAAAAACTCCAGCGGTCCTTTCATTACCGTACTCGTACTTTTCCACTCACCACTTTGAGCACTGATCTGAGCAACGAACAGACACGGACACGAAGGAGGTTAGAAAGACTTCATGTCTGAAAGACTTACCTGTAGATGTCTTTATGGATGCCGTTTACTAAAAGGGGCATTTTGGGGGGGAGTGTGCTGTATCTACCTATGCTCCTGGTGGAACAAGCGGGGATCATGCACATTGAGAGCACGGAAAGAAAAGTGGAAAATGATGAAAATGTGAACAAACGCCGGTAAGAAATACCATATTTTTCAAACTACAAGGCGCACTTAAAATCCTTTAATTTTCTCAAAAATCGACAGTGAGTCTTATAATCAGGTGCGTCTTATTTATTAACTCTGGTTGTGCTTACTGACCTCGAGCCGATTGATGCGGTTGTCGTGAATGAGCTGAATAAAGATTGACTTATCCGACTGTTTTGTTTCACTTAATGCGCCTTATAGTCCAAAAAATACGGTATACAGAGAATGTAATTTACCGTGAAAATACAGTGTGAATGCATATTGCTGAAACCAGCTGAAAACTTTTAATCTCTAAACTGTTCCTGTGAGTGGAATTTGAAAGTAGGAAAATAAAAGCTGAACGCAGCAGAAAAACAAACAGCTAAAATGGGTAGAAAAAGCTGAATGAAGCAGAATAAGTTGAAAAAGGCAGCGAGAGGCTGAATAGACTACAAATTCTGAAATTAGCAAGTAAGGAACTAAAATGTGTATAAAAATGGTGAAATTAGAAAAAAAATGTAGCTGATAATGCTAAAAAATATGAAATTAGCATAAAGAGGCTGAAAGGAGAATAAAGGAAAGAACAAAATCCAAAACTAGCAGAAAAACGCTGAAAATAGCAGAGAAAGGCATAAAAATGTAGCTGAAAGACAGAAATTGTATGTGCAATGAAATTATCATGAAAAAGCTGAAAAAAAGAAAAAACTAAAAGGAGCAAAAAAAAAAAAAATAGCCAAAAGGAGCTGAAGTTAAAAAATAATAATAATAATCAACAGAAAAAAGTTATCATTAGAAAAAAAGTAGCTGAAGATACTAAAGAAAAAGAGCTGAATTTTTTTTAAAGAGGCTGAAAAGAGCATAAAACGTTAGAATTATCAAAAAGAAGCACAGAAGGCAGAAAAAATACTCAAATATGCTGATAATTACAGGAAAAAGTAAAACATAACTGAGCTGAATTTAGCAGAAAGAAGCTGAAAAAATCTTAAATTAACAAGACAAATCACTGAAAGGAGCAGAAAATAGCCAAAAGGAGCTGAAGGAAGTTGAAATTATGAAAAAAAGAAAAAAAAAACTGAAATGAGCAGACACAAGTTACCATTAGAAAAAAGTAGCTGAAAATACTAAAGAAAAAGAGCTGAAATTAGTAAAAAGAGGCTGAAAGGAGAACATTTTTTTATTATCAAAAAGGAGCAAAAAAGGCAGAAATGGCTGAAAAAAATACTCAAATTTACTGAAAATGACAGAAAAAGGTAAAGCAGAAAAGAAATTAATTTAGCAGAAAGAAGCTAAAATAAACAGAGATTAGCTGAAGGAAGCTGATATTAGCATAAAGACGCTGATCAAAGCTGAAGCAGAGCAAAAGCTGAAAGGAGCAGTAAAAGGTTTTAAACAGCTAAAGGGTTTGAGGGACGAGCAGAGAGCTCCATTCATTTTCAATGAGAAAAAAAAAAACTGAAAAAGCTAAATACTTCAAAAAGTACAAATTGCACAAACACCAAAAGTGACAGAAGGAATGAGCTGAATGAGCCGAACGTTTTGAGACATGAGTTGTGGAACAAGCTAAAAAACGTATGGAAGAAAAATGGATCAATAATGAGAACGTTTTGGAAACAACCGTCCTAGAAGGGTTTTTTATCTTTTCCAGTTATGCATCAGACAGAATCCTCTTCTGTGCTGTTCAGTGTCTTGTTGTTGTTGTTGTTGTGTTTACACGAGACAACAGTGGCAACAAAAAATCAAACAAAAAAACCAACATCCAGGCAGGAACTTCACACAAACGTTCAGGTTTCATGCACACGTCAACAAACCTCTTTTCCACCGTGCGTTGAAAAAGACTGAAAGGTGGCCGTACCTGTTGGTGTGTAGGCACTCGGCACTCCCGCCCCGAATGGACCTGTGCACCTCCAGAACCTCGCTGCCGTTGCCACGACGACGGGTGAATGTATGAAAAACAACACAGCAGGACAGGAAAAGTTTACGAACGAACGAAAAGGAGAAAAGATGAATCTAACGTTTAATTTAAGTCCAGAACAAACCGGTTCGGACAACAAATCTTCCGTGTTCGTGAATTATAACTAATCATTAGCTTTGATCAGGTTACCTGTCCTCCGAGTACTCGTAGTCCGAGTCGCCGGAGCGCTGATGCTCCAGGGAGGACTCGTGGTACCGTGAGCGGGGGTGATGGTTCTGGTGGATCTCATCCAAACTCCTGATCAAATTAAGCAAATATTAATATTAGTACTTCATTAATAAATAAAATCATATTTATACAGTTTCCATGCACTCATCTTGGGCGTGAATGTCAGATATATTTTGGACTTTTGATGATTTATTTGAACGGTTCTTTGTTCAGTTTGAGATCAAAACCGAAGCTCCTGATCCAAAAGCCTTTAAGATGGACCTGCAGCGGTCCACACGGACGAGACAAACGTCCCCTGGAGAGAAGTTTGACGGTCAGTCGAGGAAAATCTGTCTGGAGGAGCCAAAGTGAGTCTTTCAGACCTCAGAACAAGGAGCCAACTGTCGAGCACGGTGGTGGCAGCATCATGTGATACTAAAATAGATGCCGTGATAAAGATTCCTCTGAATTCTTCAGCTTCAGCTCAACTCAACAGTTGGACAGATGAAACGGGGACACCACAGACCTTTTTACAGATGCCAACGTGCTACTCAGAGGCAGTATTTTGCAATGCATTGTGGTCTAGATGGAGCTTAATTTGAGCTGGATCCTGCCAGAACAGGATCCATGAACTCCCTTATTTTGACAGGGTGCGTTCCGGTAATTGTTCGCTTGGATCCGGTAACTCTCAGGCTTACTAATAATAAAGTTATGAACACATGTCACTGCCTTGAATGAATAAAACTTATACTGGATATGTAAACTGAGAATAATTACATAAACACTCATTTTAAACACAACAGCCACTTACGAGCTTCTTAATGTCACATACGAGCTGCTCCTTCAAGTAAGCATTTCCGTGTCTACCCTTAAAAAAGTGTCCATCCTAAAAGAGTGGTGGTTATGAATACTGGGCTAACCAGGCAGTTGGAGGAGGCGCATGGCAGTTTCACATTGGAGTCAGACAACAACGAGCAGGGACAGTGTCAGGCTCTGAACCGTCAAGTAAGGGGGATTGGGGGGTCGGATGCTTGACAGAAGCGGAGTGTTTACAAACGTAGGTAAACGTAGATGTTTAACGACCTGTTAAAATACAACAAAATGCAGGAAATCGCATCTACTTTATTCAAAATTTTCTGGGGGAGGACACCCATAACCCCCTGCCCCCCACCAGCCCGCCCACTATTTGCATTCCGGCATTGTCATTGGTTGACAAATTAAGCCCTGGGTCTAGATATATTCAAACCTACTCCTGGTTCTTTAACTTCTACTCCAAGTTTGCCGTTCATTTGTGAATACTCGTTACTCTCACTGACTCTGGCCTCGTTAAACAAAAATGATTAGAAATTATTGAGATTTAAGTTTCACGTCTGTCAACAATCTAAACGGTGTTCAGCTTTACGTGTTTCAGCTGCTCTGAGGTCATTCTGACACTGGAAACGTTACACGTTGAGAACATTTCACCCTTACAACATGAAATACCAATAAAGTAATTTATAATGACATTTGAATATGAAAGTCTATAAAAAGTAGGTGTAAAAGACCGAAACGCTGGAGTTGAACGCTGAACGTGGACATGAATGAACCAAATGAATGTATTTGGCTACGTGGTGCTCGAGCATTCGAACTGTTTCAAGCAGCAAGCCGATGGGATCGCTGAGGGGTTTGAAGAGTGAATGTTTGTAGTTTTTGGGATGAGTGTTTTTGGCTGGAATTGAACAGAGAATGTTTTTGCTGGTAGGAGTTACACTGAGTATAAAAACACAGTTTACGTTCGACTGACTGAGGCGGAACAGAGTGAAGGATTCTAGTGAGGGGAGGGAGCAGTTTTATCCTCCACCAGGTGCAGTGGAGGAGCCAGGGGGTGGCCAGTGGTGGCCTTGGCCACCATAGCTTGATCTTTGCCCCCCACCACAATCATTTGAGAAAACTACACTTTAAGGCAATATAAAAACTACCAAACATGGTTTCCTCAAATAATTGAGGTGGCCAGTTTAAAAATATATTGTGGCAGCCATCTTGGATTTTTACGTGGTGATCCAGTTTTCGCAGGAACCTTTCTTACGCCTAGATGCAGCCGCACACCAAAATGCAAGATGGCACTTAACTTTTTTTTTTTTAAGTTATCAGGCTCAAGATGGATGCAGGGTGATTTCAAGTCCCCTCTTGGCTCTGGAACAGGAGCCAACAAGTCCTAAACTCTCATCAGAACCGGTCTCTGGTGTGTGTTTGGGCCTCTGGAATGACCTTCCCAAAGACCTGACCTCAACCTGATCGACAATTTGTGGACTCTGATTAAAAGCTGGAAGAAGAAGGTTGCTTGTCGATGGAGACAACAAGCCTGAGGTCCAGTGGGACTTGACGAGATGTTTAATGGAGTGAGAAAAACGAAAAAGCTCTGATTTATTCTTCATCAATTCATCGGCAAAACTTCTGTGATGTGACCCTGAATTAATTAAAGAGCCGTCACCGTTGAAACACCAGAGTTTCCAGAGTTGCTGACCTCTGCATGGGCACATGTGCGGGTCGAGACCGAGCCCGGCAGGAGTCCTCTCTGTGAGGAGACACCGAACGGGACCGGTGTTGGACGGGACGCTGCTGCTCCGGGACGGCCAACGAACTGCCCCGGTCTCTGTCCCGGGAGTTACGCTCGGCACCTGCGCACAGAGGATGAGGTGAAAAAAAACCAAACAGATCAAGTTATTTAAAGATTCACAAACAGACCACAGCTGAGTTTTAGCTGCAGACGAGAGCTTTGAGCTCCTTCAGGTCTGTGACAACCTGCGGCTCAGGGGAGCTCGCAGACCGTTTCTCACAAAACTCTGAATCTTCCGTGCTCGTGAAGTACCGGATGGGCTGATCAAGCAGATAAAAAAAAAAACTACAAAAAACTACAAAATGTCTCAGCTCAGGATAAAGTTTTTTTTTTTTTTGTGCCAACTTTTAAAAAAATCACAGCCACGGTTTTCAAAAAGTATGCACGTGCGTGTACGTGCACATTTTTTAAACCCTTGGAAAAGCTTAAGCGGAGAAATCTGACTTTTTTTTTTGTTTCTAATTTTTATTCATCGATTCATTTTTGTGCAGTCAATAAGCAAGACCTAAAACTCCTTCTAATTAGTTTTTATTTTTGTCTTATTATCTGTCTTATTTATTTTTTTAAATGCTCTCATAACCTCACGATAATGAGGGAAAAAAATCGTCCACGGGGAAATCCCATTATAAATTCAAATTTTGACCCCGTATTTAATCATAAAATAACGCCACCCTTTCAGTATTTTTTTTTTTTTTACCTCTATCCCTATACTTTTGATTTTTATAGCCACTGTACAAATTGTCCGTTCGCTTTTTTGCTGTTTGCATCCAGTTTTGTTGGACGAATTTTGTTGGACTGGAGTTGAGCCTTTTGTCATCCAGTGTCTTCAGAAAGAGAGAGACGCGAAGAAACGATAAAGCCGGTAAATGAAAACGAGGTAGATAATTTTCATTTATCATGCGATTAATTGATTTATTGTTTATTGCAACGGGCATAGTTAAAAGGCTGATATGAAGCCTCCGGTCCACGTGAGACTGACACGAACTGAAGCCAGGACAGGGACTCTACCGGTTAAACACAAGTACCTCCTTGTCTGGACACATTTGGTGACTCCAGTGAAAGAAAGACGGCACTTGTTGGTGTAAAAGCATGCAAAAGATCCGGTAAGACCCAGCAGGAGAGGAGAAACTGTTCACTGCAGCCTCAGACGTTCAACACAAGTAAAAACGAAAACACTTTAGAGCTTTTCTTCTTCTGATCTGAAGCAAATTAGAAATTTGTTTGAAAGTAGTTGAGAGCAGGAAGCAGCTTCTCGCTCAGGGCTGGAGAACTACAAACTACTGCAGAGAAACAGCCAGTAACCATGCCCCCCACCCACCTTTGGTCCCAACTACCAAACCATCATCAAACTCTGTGTCAGTGATGCGACGGGACCCTGCGCACACACAAACACACACACACAGACAAGTCAGGGGACACGTGTCCTGCCTGAGTGTCCCACAGAGACACTCAAAGGTAAAGGAGAGTTTAGCTGCTGAGAAAACCTCCCGCCGAAACAGAAACAAAAACTTACTCTGGAGTTTCTTGCTGGGACTGTCTCCGTGGCCGTGTCGGCGGGAAAGGTACGGAGACGGCTGCGGCAGAGGGATGGAGGACGCGTCGTGGGTCTGGAGCTTATACCAGTGAGGAATGTCGTCCAGCAGGGCCGTCTCCAGCTCGATCAGGATCTGACAAAACAAGACAGAAGACAGAAAAAGATTGGAGCCTCAACGCTGACAAAACTGTGCATCCATTTCACCCAATTGTTTCCATTGCCAAGCTTCACTTTCTGCTCCACCCACCATTCCGCCCAGCTGTCTCCACTCTGTCCATCAGCCCCACTGTGAGCTTAAAGGGACCTCTGACTAGTTGGAATAATAGAGCTTACTTAACAAACAACCATTTCAGCTCTAAAACCAGTTAAAAATACTACAGGCTGTTTAGATTTTCTCATTCCAAAACAAAAAAATGACACATGGAAGTCACCGTTACATATATGTTACATACATATTTCTTAGTTCATATCTTAGAACTTATCACTGTTTTTCTTTTACATTTTATTGTTGGATGTAACTGGGACCCTGTGTACATAATCTCGTTCCACCACATGTACCACGTGGGGTGCGAATGACAAAGAACCTTGAATCCTTGATAAAAAAAATCAGTAAACACGTTCTCAGCTTCTTTTTGCAGAGAAAAACAACTTTTAAGACGAGGTCACAGGTTTCAACCGTGAATTTTGGAGCTTCGACAAGACGGAGGTTTTTTCCCGAGGTCGGCCTGTTAGCTTAGCTCGTAGCTTATCTTCTCAGCGTAGCTGCTTCTAACGATCCAAAAACATGATTTTGGAGGGTTAGAATGGATTTTAAAGAGAAAGGGAGTGGTCAGTGAAGAGCACCGGAGTTGTGTCTTCAGTAGAAAGAGACAAGAAGAAACGATAAAGCCGATAAATGAAAATGAGGTCGATCATTTTAATTTATCATGCGATTATTTGACTTATTGTTTATTGCGACAGGCCTAGACTGAATGCTCTGTCTCCAAAAGTCTGCACCCGGAGGAACAGAGAGACGTCCAGCAGCAGAAGACCTGAGGTTCTGGGACAGGGTGTGGGGACATTTACAGCGGTCTAACAGAACCTCGCAGACCCCCTGTGGGTATCATAGTCCCTTCACCTTCCAGAGTGTAACTGAACTCTTTAAATTTAACTCACTGACTTATCTTCAACCAAACGTGGCCACCATGGTGATGCACGGCAGTAGAAGCATCATGACAAGAGTCTTTTAGCGTAAACTTCAGGAAATTTAACAGTCCAATAAAGAAATAAAGAACTCACCTCGCCCAGAAACTCACTCTCCTCCTCCTGAACCCGGGGCTGGTCCCAGACCGTGATCTCCAGCATCCGCTCCCTGAAGTCCCGCCGGTGAACGTGGGAATAAATAAAGGTCTGGTTCCACTTGGGCTCGGCGCTCTTCTTCACGGTTTTGGTCCGTCGTTTACTTTTATCACTGGAACAGAGATGTCGTAGTTGAGACAGGAGCCAGTGTCATTATAAGAATCACGGGTGTTTTCTTACCTCCGGTCAGGCAGGAAGTACATTTTGACGTACGGGTTCCGGGGCCGGCCGTCGGGTCGAGGGGGCAGGTCTACGGCTTGGAGGACGTTGACGATCAGCTGATGACCCACTTTGTCGTACCACAGCTTCACCTGAAAAGATGCACGGTGACTTTTATCCCTGACGGGACAGAATTCACTCAGGTGGACCAGGTTCTTGTTTTTCCTTACAGAGAGCTGTCCCGGCAGCTCCAGAGGAAGATCCCGCAGGGTGCCGGGACTGGTCGGGGACATCACCGAAATGGAGGGACGGTCCATCTTCTGGGACTCAAAGGAACTGGAACCAGCTGGGAAATTGATAAACAATAGTTTGTTTTTAAATGGATGTTGAAAAAATATGTGAACATTCTTCACGGGTGCTGCTTAAACCTTCAGTAAACTACAGGAAGTGGACAAACGCCAGAAGAAAAGGACTTACTGGATTCCAGCGGGGGATGAGTGGAGCCCGGGATTCTTGGAATGTCTCTGTGGAAGAGTCCAAACAGATCAAGTTTTATAAAACCGTATTAACGTAACACATGGCTCTGTTGCAACAAACAGGCTCAGAAGTCGACACGGTGGGTTGAAGAGGATGCTACACCTGGAAAAAAAAAAATCCTCTCCATCTTTAAGATTTCAGGAAGGACAAATGAATTTCCACCTGATTTTTCTACTTACTGATTGGCTCTAAACACTTTTCTCAAGATGTTTTAGGACTTAATTTGGTTGATGGAGTTTTTAAATGAAGAGAAAATATCAAGAATGTCTGTCAAAATTAAATCAACGCCATTGCTCACATGTTTTCATAAAAAACATACTGATAATGTAAATCTCACCCGATCGGTCTTGAAACTACAATCTCCACTTGGGGCTCGGCCTTGGACTCAAGAATGATGTTGTAGACTTCTTTCTTGGTTGCTCCGGGCAACGACTTCCTGTTCCACTGCAACACCTCGTCACCTGGGAACGAGACGACGATACACACCGAGGCTCGTTTATTTACTTGATAAAATAATTACTCCTTCGTCTACTGCTTATTCATAGTTGGGTCAAGAAGACAACAGGTCCAGGACCTCGCTCTCTCCAGAAACAGTCTGCAGCTCTTCCTGGGGGACCTCATGGTGTTTGTTCCAAGACCATAGACCGTGGCCTCTTCCCAGTGGGACGTGCCATAAAAAACTTCTTAAAAAGGCATCCAGGAGGGATCCTGATCAGATGAACACCTCAACTGATTCCTTTCAATGCAAAGGAGCAGCAGCTCTACTCTGAGCTCCACCAGGATGACAGAGCTCCTCACCCTAACTCTAAGGCTGAGCCCGATCACCCTACAAAGGTAAGCTAAGCTAACAGGCCGACCTCTGGGAAAAAACCTCCGTCTTGTCGAAGCTCCAAAAATTCACAGTTGAAACTTGTGCCTTCGAGTAAAAAGTTGTTTTTCTCTGCAAAAAGAAGCTGAGAACTTGTTTACTGATTTTTTTTTATTAAAAGTTCTGTGTGACAAATGCTATGCTAAAGAGCTCAAACCACACAGAGCGACCGCTATTTTGAGAACCAAAGACAGAGAGCACATGTCACGTCAAGGGGCCTCCCTCCCACTTTTCTTAAAGAGACACGCTGCTCACTCCCTCACTATCCATCCTTCAGTTCAAACAGTCTTATACTGCCATCCGGTGGTCGAAAAAATGCACTACACTAAAAAATGAACCAACATTTCTTCTTAAATTTGACAATAGTTACAAATTATTGTCAAATTTCAAACAATATTATCGTTTATCGCAATAATTTCTGAGACAATTAATCGCCCAGCAAAATTTGTTATCGTGACAGGACTATCTTGCAGTCATGATCAAAACCTCATGACCAAAGGTGAGGCTTGCTTTGCTTGTGGACTCAACTCTTTCTTCACCACAGCCGACCAAAGTTACTCCAAAATTTACTCTACGATATTTGAAGAGAGGCTACAACTACTAGCCGTTGGCTCAAATTAGCTGTTAGATTAGCTATCAGCTCAGACTAGCCTTCTGTTTGCACTAGCCATCAGCTTAGCTGTTAGCTCAGACTACCTGTCAGCCCAGACTAGCCATCAGCTTGAACAAGCTAGTAGGTTAGATTATCTGTTAGCTTAGACTAGCCATGAGCTCAGACTAGCCTTCAGCTTGGATGCGCTGTTAGCTCAAATTACCAATCGACTTACACAATGTATTAGCTCAGCTTTCAGCTCGGACTAGCCAGTAGCTCAGATTAGCAGTTAGGTAAAACAAACCATTATCTCTGGCTAGCTGTTAGCTTGTCAGTCCTGTCAGAATAAAAGCATTTTGCCAAAGTAAGAAGTACCATATACAGCAGGTAAGATATTAACTGTTTTTAACCTTTCCATGGAACTCACTTCAAAGGGTCTGAAATAATTTTATATATTTATTTTAGGTTTTGGAAAAAAAATTGAGTCTATCTCTAATATACATATATATCAAGAAAAATACAGATTTTGACTATAAACACATAAAAATCCACTAACTGCTGTAGTTTAAAAAAAAAAAGAAACATGTTCACCTGCTCGCAGGTGTCCCACCACATCTGCCAGGCTGCCTTTTTTTACTTTGGTGATGAAGGCCCCGAGTCTTCCCGTTTCTGTCATCTTCCCTCCCACCACCTGCAGGCACACAAGATTTTACGTAAAGTTTTACATAAAAAACATCAAAACAAAAACACTTCCAGCTTTTAAAACAATAATTCCTTCTTACTTTCAGGCCCAGGAGGGACCCGGCCTCTCGAGGTAAGGCCGACCTCTTGCTCAAGGTGATGCGTCCGATCAGGTGGTCGCCCTCTTTGGACGGCTGCCACGTAACAGGATGCTGCGGGAAACAGAGGAGACAGTCTGTTAGGAAGGAAGTTATGATGAGTAATCAATTTACTCTGACAGCTGATGAATCCACCAGGGTTTTGTTTTATTTTTCTGTATGTTTGTAATTCAGGAGAAATGTGTGAGTCAAAAAACTAAAACTCACGTGCCACACTGTAGGATCTAAAGGATGGCAGTCCAAGTCTCCTGAAGAAGAGGGAAAAAAACTGAAATTAGCCATTTAATCATTTCAGTTGTAAACTCTTTACAGTGGGAACACATTGTGGGCTAGTCTGAGCTAACGACTAGTCCAAGATGATGATTAGTCTGAGCTAATAGCTAGTCTAAGCTAACAACTAATTTGAGCTAACGGCTAGTCCAAGATGATGACTAGGCTGAGCTAACAGCTAGTCTAAGCTAACAACTAATCTGAGCTAACGACTAGTCCAAGATGATGATTAGTCTGAGCTAACGGCTAGTCTAAGATAACAACTAATCTGAGCTAATGACTAGTCCAAGATGATGATTAGTCTGAGCTAACGGCTAGTCCAAGATGATTATTAGTCAGTTAATAGCTAGTCTAAGCTAACAACTAGTCTGAGCTAACGACTAGTCCAAGATGATGATTAGTCTGAGCTAATAGCTAGTCTAAGCTAACAACTAATTTGAGCTAACGGCTAGTCCAAGATGATGACTAGTCTGAGCTAACAGCTAGTCTAAGCTAACAACTAATCTGAGCTAACGACTAGTCCAAGATGATGATTAGTCAGTTAATAGCTAGTCTAAGCTAACAACTAATCTGAGCTAACGACTAGTCCAAGATGATGATTAGTCTGAGCTAACGGCTAGTCCAAGATGATTATTAGTCAGTTAATAGCTAGTCTAAGCTAACAACTAGTCTGAGCT